AGCTGGGAGTATAGGTGTATGCCACCATGCCTGGCTAATTTTTGTATTTTTAGTAGAGATGGGATTTCCTCACGCTGGCCAGGCTGGTCTCGAACTCCTGACCTCATGATCTACCCGCCTCAGCCTCCCAAAGTGGGTTATAGGAGTTAGCCACTTTGCTTGGCCATTACTTCTTAGGATCTTGAGAAGGGAAGGGGTATGCCGGGAGAGGAAACAGCAAGTCCAAAGGCCTGGAGGCAGGAATGGGCCCTCATTTTTTGGAGCTCAACAGAGTGGAGCCAGCACGCCTCTGTGAACCAAGACACCAGAGCCAATACTTCCCCTGTGGTTTTGGTCCAGCCATGGGGTTGGCCACGTCTTGCTTGGTTTCAATTCCCTACCCCTCGCACTGACCTAGGGCAAGAATAGAGATAGAGGCAGCCAGATAGAAAAGGGAAACAGCCTTTTTTCACTTTTACTAACTACTGGGTGTTGGCATCCCCACAGGGAACGATTGCCGGAGGATCACTGAGATTCCAACTTCCGGGGTTTGGGAGGAGCAGATACGGTGGCAGTGCCCACCAGAGGGGTGCCATGGGCCCATCAGGTTTTAGTTTCAAGAATAAAATTGGTGAGGGCTTCCTGTTTGTCGGGGGAGGTGGGACGGGGCCCAGGGACTCAGGCTGGAGAATCACAGAATAGTGATTCAGAAATGTGAGCTCTGGAGCTGGACTTTATAGCTGCTTAGCTGTCCGTGACCTTGGGCAGGTGCTTTTGCCTCTGTGTGAGCCTCAGCTTCCTCATCTGTCAAGTAGGGATAGTAAACACACCCGTCTGCTTGGGGCCATTGGGAGGCAAAGTAATTTCACTGATGGACAAGCTAAGCAGAGCCAGCAGAAGGAAGAACATATTTTCATGGTGAATTTATCCCACGGCGAATTTATACTACAACACGGTGGGGTCTCTTTTGTAATAGGATACGTTTTAGCTGCAGTGACAGAACTCCAAAACAAGAGTGGCTTAAACAATGTCTAAGCTTATTTCTGTCAAGGCAGTCCAGGGCAGCATGGTGGTTCCATGCTGACAGCATCCATTTCTGCCAGCCCTGGAGTGTGGTCCTCAGCACCGGGGTATCAGGTGCTCACACCACACCCACATTCCAGCCAAGGAAGAGGGAAAGGAGAAGGGAAACTGCACGCAGCCCTTCTGCTCATGCCCCATCCACCAGAACCTAGTGTCTAGGGTGGACTGGAAGTGTGCTCTTTATTCCAGGTGCCCTCATACTTAGCTGAGAATCACTTCTGTTGCTTTTGACAAGGGTCAGCAAACTTTTCCATTAAAGGACCAGATGGAGAACATTTTAGGCCTTGGGGTCCATACAGTCTGTCATTGTACTGTAAAAGCAACCACTGACAATATGTAAATAAATGAGGATGCTGGGTTCCAATACAACTTTTTTTGTTTTTGGGATGGAGTCTCGCTCTGTTGTCCAGGCTGAGTGCAGTGGTGTGATCTCGGCTCACTGCAACCTCCGCCTCCTGGATTCCAGCGATTCTTCTGCCTCAGCCTCCCGAGTAGCTGGGATTACAGGTGCCTCCCACCACACCAGGCTAATTTTTTGTATTTTTAATAGAGACAGGGTATCACCATGGTGGCCAGGCTGGTCTTGAACTCCTGACCTTGTGATCTGCCCGCCTTGGCCTCTCAGAGTGCTGGGATTACAGGTATGAGCCACCGTGCCTGGACCCAATAAAACTACTTTTTACAAAAATAGATGATGGGTTGGACTTGGTCCTCAGAGTGTCACTTGATCATGCTTTGGACAAAGGGGATGACGGGTAGGACCTGGGGTGGGGGGGTCTCACTAACTGGCAGCCCCTGTCTCTGCCCACTGGGAGCTGACTGGCCACATTTACTCCCTGGCCTTGGCTGGCCTCACAAAGGTCCAGATGCCCAAAACCACTTTAGGGAACCTGGGACTGGGGTAGCTTTGCTGAATCGAATGGAATTACTGAATATGGTCATAAGATCATGGTCTTCTTTGTGTACATACCTACAAGCAGGCCGACGGCTCCAGGAGAGCTTGGGGGAGTGTCTGCCATCATCTGTGCACAATAGAGAACCCAGCGTGGGGCCATGACACTGAAGGCCTTGCTGAGTGGATACACACGTGCATGGAGTGAGCTTCTGGCTCCACACCACCCTCTGCCCTTGCCTGGACGTTGGTAGTAGGCATAGCTGGTCTTCCTACTTTATATTCATTCCACATTCCGTCCCGCACATCCTCCTGTCAGCAGCCAGGGAGGTCCTTTAAAGGGTGAGAGGATGGTGTCAGGCCTCTGCTCCTACCCCCATCACCGCCCCGTGCTCTAGAGAGGAAACGTAAAACACCCCACTGCAGCCTAACGTGATCCGGCCTTGGCGTCCTTGTCTGAATCCGTGCTGCGACCCTCTCTTGCTCGCTCTGCTGCAGTTCCGCTGGCCTCCCTGCTGCTTCTCGCTGCCTCAGGGCTTTGCACGTGCTCTCCTCCTTCCTGTGGTGCTATTCCCACAGATGCGGTGTGGCCCATGCCCTCACTTCAAGCTTCGCTTGCAAGCCTGCTCTGCAGAGGCCTTCTCAGACCACGGCACTTCCCTCACTCACTGCCCCTTTAATTCATATAAATTATATATTTATTTGTGAAGAAAGTATTCATACTTAACTGTCTGAAAGGTTGTAAATAGTATGGGGATTTAGAGTGTAAACTCTGGAGTCAGACTGGGTGAGCTCAGATCTGCTGTGTGACCTTGGACAAACGGCCCAACCTCTCTGTGCCTCAGGTCTTGCATCTGTCAAACGAGGAGAATAATGGTACCTACCTAATAGGGTTGATGTGAGGATCAAATGAGCTTGACGGGAGCATGAGGGCTCGCTGAGTATTAGCCGTTGTTACTGTTGGTAGTGGTAATAGTCATGGCCTTGTTGACCGGTCTTCTCTTGCCCATGAGCTCCCAGAGGACTGTCTTGTTCTCTGCCCAGCCTCCACGGCTCAGGCTCACACCAGTTGTTCAGCTGGTATTTGCTGAGGGAAGAAAAAGTCAAAATACAACCCCCATTAGCAGAGCTGGCCCTGGGTGCCCTGCCTGTCTTCACGTTGCTTCCTCTTGAAGGCTTCCGGCCTTGCTTCTCCTCTGGTTGATCACCAGCGTTTTCAGCACATGGCGCTGCTGTCTGGGCCTCTCTCAAGCCCGCAGGGAAGTGCCTTTCCAGCCTTATTGCTGGGGCCTCCAGAGGAAGAGCACGGCTTCATCTCCCTTCTTTTGTATCCTTTGGGCACATTGTCTGGGTGCATGGCAAGAGCTCAGCCGAGTTCCGGGGGCCTGATGTTGCAGACCAGCTGGGCCTTGGGACTCTTAGGACCTGGTCATCAGAAGAGACGGCATGTGTTTTCGGGCAGGATGGAAGTGGTGGGAATGGAGAAGGGATGTGTTTGGAGTTGGTTTTCTCCAGGCAGTGCACAGAACACCACCATTTTGTGGCAAATTGCTGCTCACAGTTGCAGCTAGCATGCGTTGTCATATGGCAGTGAGAGTGCCAATTGCTTGCATATATTGAGCACTTGCTCTATATGTACTTGAGCTTTTCCTGCAGTACCTCATTTATCCCTCGCCATAACCATGGGCAGCGTCAGACAGCCTGGATTCAAATCCCAGTTTCTCCTTGTACTTTGAGGCCTTAGGCTTTCTTGCTGTGCCTCAGTCTCCTCATCTGTTAAATGGGCTAATAACAGAACTTACCTTCAAAACATGGAGCGAAGGCTCAGTAGACATTAATTGCTGCCATCGTCATCATCCTCATCATCACAGGTTTGCAGCTGATGAAACCGAAGCCCAAGGTCACCCAGATAGTGAGGGGCAGAGTCAGCCCTTGAACTGACATTTGTGCTCATAACTCTCACACAAGAGTGTCACGTATGCGGGGACGTTATCTGGATCATTGAGGAGCAGAGAGATAGGGCATAGGGCAGAGACTGGAGCTGTTAGGCATGTGGGTCAGATGATTAAAGAAACTTATCTCTGCTGGCACAGTTGAGGATGAAAGGCTGGCAGGGCAGTTGGGTGATTTGGGTAATTTGGTCTGAAAATCTTCCCTGATATCTTAAGTCCCGGCTAATCCCTTCCTCCTCAGTTCCTCTCCTATCACACTTAGTGGCCAGAATCTTTTGATGAAGACCAGCCTGGCTTTTGCAGTGTCCCAGCCTGTGCCTGAGTTGAGGGGTGAGCTGGCAGTAGGAAACGGTGGGGGCAGGGGGCTTCTCATGGATTAAGAGCCATTTTACATGCCCCCTCCCATATCCTTGTGAAGGCGGGGGCAATTTTTATGACTATACTACAGATAAGAAAACCAGGCCTGGGGAGGGGCAGTGTTGGGGCCACTTCTGTGACTGCCAATCTCTCTGTTTTTCTCTCCCTTATTTACTCCACCACAGACACACTGCCTCCTCCTGTTCCTCATTACACAGCAGATGTGCGCCCGCCCAGACCCTTTGTGCCGCAGTGCCCCTCACCTGGCAGGCTCTCCCCTTGGGCTTTTGCAGGTCTCCCTCTCTGGCTCTGTGCAGGGTCTCTGCTCAGACATCACCTCCGTAGAGAGGCCTCCCCTGATCTCCCTGTGTGAAACACTTCCTTCCCCCACATTCTGATTTGTCTTCCAAGTGTTCACCGCTGCTTGACATTGTATTCCATACCTGAGTTTTCTTTTCTTTGGCGCATCTCCTTTGCTAGAAAGTAATGTCCACCAGGTGAGGAGTTTTTGTATGTTTTCTTGATAGTAACGTTCTCCCCAGACCCTACAACGCTGTCTGCAGTGGAGGACGTGCTCAGATGACACTTGTAGAATGAATGACTGACCGAATGAATGAGTGATGCCTCTCACCTTCAGGTTGTATAGCTTGTATGTGGCAGAGCTGGCTTCAGTTCTGGCCTGGGCCTCCTCTGGATTGATGTCTTGCTTTCTTCTTCCCATCTCTATTCTACCCCAGGAGCTGGCCAAGAGGACTCCTGGCAAGCACCCAGACCACCCCGCGGTCCAGAGTGCCCTGCAGGCCATGAAGACCGTTTGCTCCAACATCAATGAGACCAAGCGGCAGATGGAGAAGCTGGAAGCTCTGGAGCAGCTGCAGTCCCACATCGAAGGCTGGGAGGTGTGTACAGGACTGGAAGGGGCTTCCTGGGCTGCAGGGGCCAGGAGGGACACAGCTGCAGGCACGAACTGAGGCCTGGGCGCCGGGTTCAGTCCGCAGTGTGTTTTGTTTGGCTTACAGAGTGTTTGCAAAAGATTGCTTAATTATTTTTTAATTAAATCTAAATAAAAATCCGCATTTCAGGCTTCTCTTAAAAAATTGGTGACTTTGGGCACCTATGTCCCATGGAAAGAGTCGCTGGAGCCTTCAGTTCCCCCCACTGTCCCCTGTCATCTGCCCACCTTTCTCTTTCATGCATTGCTTGGTATGTGTAGGCCTTTGAGCTGTTGATGCCAAGGTCAACGGTAGTGTTTTAGCGTCTACTCCAGGACAGAATTCTGGCTTTGACACTCCTTTGCTGGGTGACTTTAGGCAGATGTCGTAACTTCTCTGAACTTCAGTATCCTCATCTGTACCTGATACATAGTAGGTACTCAGTAAATGGTAGCTGTTGATATTACTATCATGATTATTAGGGGGTAGGATTCTTGAGCTCATTGGATTGTACATAATTTATTTGTTTAAAGCCCCCATGCCTTCCTTAGGTTATTAGACGTTTCCTGTGAATCTGTAGAAGGAAATGGAAAAATATGAATAAATGAAAAAATCAATATCAGAGCAAACACAGCTGGAACGGGAGATTAAGACAGAAGATGAAAGGCTCTTGGACAGAGATTATTACCCGGATCATATGCCTTAGGCCCTTTGGATTTTCTGGCCTTTGGAGGCACTTGCCATATTTAGGATTTCTAGTTCTTTTCTTTGTGCTGGGGAATCCTAAATGTGAGGATGTATTACTGTGAGGTTACAGGTTTGCTGCAGAAAGGAGAGGGGCTGTGTTCAGGGAGTGGGGTATTGTGGATCGGCCAATCTACCTGCCATGTCCCCTGCACTCCTTCTGCTGGGCCTTTCTGCCCAGCTGGGGCTGGAGGGGGAAGAGCTCCATTTCCCAGCTTCGGTTTGGGATATGATTTGGGTCCGGCCAAGATCAGACCCAGCTGCTTGAGATTTGGAAGGTGGGAGTGGGGTGGAGGCCACCCCAATGCTGTTTTTGCAGCAAAGCACAGTCATGGTCATGTGTGGCTTTCCGTGGTTACATTCGGAGAGGGCCTGGGTGCCAGCTTCCTGGGTGTTGGATGCATGGCCTAGGCCTTCTTTTTCAATTGTTGGTGGGGTGGATCTGCAGTTGACAGTTGAGGCAACAACTACTGAATGCCTCGATGCCGTCTGAGCAGCCTTTTCCTGGAGGCTGAGTTGGGCAGGTGATGTGATATTCTGATTCTCCCTTCCCACCTGAGGCAGGGGCAGTGGCTCCCCTGCTGGGCCAGTTCTGCGGGGTGGTTGTTTTCCTGGCTGCTCTAGTCCCTTCAGTGAGTAAGTAAAGCCCCCTCATTCCTTTTCGCTTAAAAAGTACATGGCTTGGTGTCTGTTTCCTGCAACTGAAAGTTGCCTGATCCTCTGGTGTGTCAGTTAGGATGCATCCTCTAAGACTCATCTCAGCCTTATGTCAGCGCTCTGATTTGGTCTCTTGTGATCCTCTTCTTTCCCTCATGCTTCCATGAAGGCAGCAACTCCAGGCATCATGTGTTCAAAACCGGAGGAGAAGGGGCATGGCCAGGGTAGTTAGTGGGGAGCCCTCTTCCCTGGTGGAGGAAAACCTTTTCTAAAAGCCCCACGCAGGTGTCTCCTTTCATTGCATTGGCCAGAAATGGGTCACATGGCCACTTTCAACTTCAAGAGCAAATAGAGATGACTCATTTAAACATCTGTCTGTTTGGGCTTTGAGTTTCCCGGAAGCCAAGGTGAAAAGAGCAACACATATAGGTTACCTAATATTGTGAAAAAAGGAAGAAGCAGAGCAGTTCTTCTGGGAGTTGGAGAGTTTCCTGGCACTAAGTTGGAAAAGGAATTTCTCACATGGACCCCCGAGGAGAGGATATTGAGCAAGCTCCTTGGCAGCTGGAGCAGAAGTGATTTCCTTTTCTGTTAAGGGCTTAGGGAATGGAAACCAAGGGTCTCTAAAACCCTTTGTGACCCTGAATGTGTACAATTTGAGAACTTTGTGGCCCTCAGTGGCCAGTGTTTCTGAATATAATAGGAAATAAAGTGACTTAAAATAAGAATTGCTGGCAGTTATTTAGCATTGGTTACAAGCTTCCAACCCTACGAGAGAGGTGCTGTTATCTCCATTTTACAGATGAGGAAGCTGAGGCACAGGGACATGGTTTGTAACTTAACAGACTGCCCTGCTTTGGGTAAGTTTGTCCTGCCAGGCGGGCCTTGTTTTCTCCTATTTGTTTAATTTTAGGGATAATATCTCTGAAGTTATTTTTTGCTTTCCTTCTGAAGATAAAGTGCAGTATGGAATATGAATGTCCTTTTTGACAAATGTGAAATTGTTTTCCATGAAGTAGAAAGGTGTTTTAAATACAGTTTGTTTCTCAAGGTGACTTGTGAAAAGAGTACATTCTAGCTAGAAAAGATACTGTTTAGTAGTGGAGCTGCTTCCATGCTGTCTGTTAGCAGCCACAGTCTCTGAGGACAGCATGACTTGGGGGTAGTTCATGGTTAATGGCAGTGAGGGCACATCCTTATTTCAGATAGCCTTCTTGATCATTGCCCATCTTGCTGTGTGACTGCTTGCTGATCTGATTTGATGGCTGTCATCTCTTTCTTGAAATATGTCTGACAAGGGGCTTCTTTTTGGATCAAGGGGAGTCTTGTCTTGGTTGTTTCCTTGCTGTTTGCTTGAGGTTGTATCATTCATTAGTTTGATCTCCCATGTGTGTGTTTTTTGCTCCCTGATCCTTTGTATGCCACTTTTCATTGTAAGACTGGTTTAGTTAAAACCAGGTAAGTTGCCGGGCACGGTGGCTCACGCCTGTAATCCCAGCACTTTGGGAGGCCGAGGCGGGTGGATCACCTGAGGTTGGGAGTTTGAGACCAGCCTGACCAACATGCAGAAACCTTGTCTCTACTAAAAATACAAAATTAGTCGGGTGTGGTGGCGCACGCCTATAATCCTGGCTACTTGGGAGGCTGAGGCAGGAGAATCGCTTGAACCCGTGAGGCAGAGGTTGCAGTGAGCCGAGATCATGCCAGTGCACTCCAGCCTGGGCAACAAGAGCGAAATGCCATCTCAATAAAAAACAAAACAACAAAACAATAAAAACCAGATAAATTAATCCATGAATCCATTTTGCTGAGCACAAGGAAATGGCAGTGTGTCATAATACCTTGGAAGTGAGTGAACGAGACAACCCCCTTTGTGGGGAGAGATTCCGTTGCCTCAGTTTCCTCATCTGTGAAGTCTGGATCATGGCAGTACCCCTCTCATGGGTCACTTGAGGATGGGGAGCTGATGCTTACAGAGTCCTTGGCAGTGCCTGGCTTAGAGGAAACACCGAGTAAGTGTCAGGAGGAGCCCTGGCGGCAAAGTGGAATCACTTTTTTTTTTTTTTTTGGATGGAAAAATCATCTAAGAGCTTTGACTAGAACTTGTGCCCAGTGTGGGCTGCCCCTCCTCAGAGACACATTCCAGATGCAGCCTTATGGACTTCTATGTGAAGCTCACAGTGATAAGAAGGAAATGTGTGCTCTTAATAAGAAATAGGCCTGGCATGGTGGCTTACACCTATAATCCCAGCACTGTGGGAGGCCGAGGTGGGAGGATCACCTGAAGCCAGGAGTTCGAGAACAGCCTGGCCAACACAGGGAAACCTCGTCTCAACTAAACACAAAAATTAGCTGGGTATGCTGGCAGGTGCTTGTAATCCCAGTTACTTGGGAGGCTGAGGCAGGAGAATCGCTTGAACCTGGGAGGTGGAGGTTGCAGTGAGCTGAGATGGTATCACTGCATTCTAGCCTGGTCAACAGAGCTAGACTCCATCTCAAAAAAAAAAAAAAAAAAAAAAAAAAAAAAAAGGAAAGAAGTAGGGTGCACTCCACTTTCTGGCTCTGAAGCCCTGGTTTAAGAGATGGTCAACTGCTCACTCACAAGGGGAGAGAAGGAAACAGGAGCAAGGAAATAAAACCTCTCGTGTTTTTTCTTACCCTCCCTGGGGTGCTTTGGGCTCCCAGTGGGACATAGTCTGTCCCCTTGGAGACCCCTGCTCTAGACTAATGATTGCAAAGAAAAGTCTTCAGGTTGTCTTCGAAGAGGCAGCCTGAGCTAGAGGTGAGTGGGTGGGGGGTAGAGGCTGCCTGTCTGGGTTCAAGTTCCACCTCGCTGCCTTCCTTACCACCTGTGTGAGCATGAGCAAGCACTTCCCCATGCTGTGCCTCAGTTTCCTCATCTGTAAAATGAGAATTGTCCTGAGGATTAGCTGAGTTTGTGCAGGATATTTAGAATAATGCGCAGCATGTGGTTGCCCTATGCATGTATTGGCTTTGAGTGATTTGAAGCTTTTGTCATTTCCAGTGTGGTTGAGTGTGCATGGCTGGAAGGAAGGAGGTCTCTAGCCCTGACCGGTGTACATCTCCTGGTCCTCAGCCTCTTCCCTGTGTATCCAACCTCTAGCACCACCCTTGACCTGGATTCAAGGTTTTCAGGGAAATCAGGAGTCCGGCTGGGCTTCTCAGCAGGGCTGAGGTGGAAGGGGCACCCCCTGTAGTATGCGTGGCATTTCAGGTGCAGTTTTCCGGGTGGCCCTTGGCCAGGGCTGGAGAGGCAGCTTCCTAGGCTGGGGGCACTTCCTTTCTTAGGTCCCCTGAGACGGCCTTGGCAGCAGGGTTCAGGTCTAGGGCTGTGTGACCTTGGGGCTTGGCAGCTGGGCCAGGTACCAGGTGCTTCTTCAAGTTCCCCTTTGTACCCTGGAAGGGCTGGTGGGTGGGCATGAGGGAAGCAAGGCAAAGGAAGGGGAGACGTGGGCTCCAGGGACTGCTGAACTGGTGTCTGCCCTGTGCTGCCCATGGGCCGTGATGCAGCCCCAGGGAGTCCCCTTCACCCTGTTTGTGAGGATACTGGGGGTCCCCGGGGCTCTTCATCATGACAGCCCTGAGTCTTGGTGCAGCAGGCTGCTCCTTCACTGGAAACCTGAGATCTGCCTGTGGCATGCAAACATCCATGCTCACCTGGGCCCCCAGCCACGCCGAAGGCCGTGATGTCTGATAATGAGTGCAGGCTCCTGTCCCAGGCTGCACAGCTCTTGACCACAAGGAAGCTGGTTTCCCAGTCTCCAGAGGGGTCTCTGGCACTGTTGAGTGACTGGGTTTGTTGTACCCAGCTGGACCACGGGCACAGAGCAGACCAGATCTAACAGCAGCAAGAGAGAGCCCATTCTAGAAGGGCCGCCTGGCTTCGAACCAGTTCCCCTTACTGGGTCTCAGAAAGAATGCAGTCAGCAGGCCCCGGTGGGGTAGGAACTCCACGCTGGTTCTGGGTGTTGACTGTTTAGGGAAGGAGATGCTGTGAATAATTCTCCCTCTCTCCTCCCCAGGTTCATTTCCAGGCAGGGACCGTATCACTTCTTCTTTCTTCTGTGTAATCTGCTGGTCTGTCACATGGACCTCCCTTAAAACACTGCTTTTGCATAATATTCCTTGGGCCTAAATGTCAGTGGCACCCTGTTATCGATGGCCTACGTTTGTACTTTATTGTATTAATTAAAGTCCACAGCTAACCGCTGTAAGGAAGCAATGCAGCGGCCTCAGGGAGATGGCTCATTAGCATTGCAGTGCGGTTCTCATTAGCAGTGCAGACGCCAACGGTCAGGCTAGGGTGGGCAGCCTTGCCCTGCCAGGACCCGGTTCCTTCCAGCTCCTTGGCCCACCACCTGCTACAGTGTATCCCTCCACCCCAGCCTTTGGAAAGAGGAAAAGGGAGGAAGGGGAGGGAAGCCATTTTCTTTCAAGGATGTGCCCTGGCCGTGAGGCACATTGGTGATCACTTAGTCATGTGACCATACCTGGCACAGGAGGGGCTGGGAGATGTAGTCTGTGGTTGGGCAGCCAAGTACCCAGGGAAGACTCCATTCTCCAAAATGACAGAAGTGGGATGCGGGTTGAGGGACAGCAGAGGGGTTGCCTTGTTTGGCATTCTGCACCCACCGAAGTCTCTTTTCTTTGCTTTCTGGACTTTGGGATCTCTCTGCCCTTGCCTGGGTCCTCTTGGCTTCAGGGAGACCTGTGTGGTCCCAGGCTTTAGGGACCCCTCCCAGCCAGGACCTTCCCCATCCCTGCCCTCAGCCGCTTTATCTTAATTTTTATCTTTTGAGGTTGGCTCGCTCCTCCCTGATGCCTTTCCCAGCCACGCTGCCCAGCACCCCCTGACATTCAGTGAACTTCATGCATGTCTTTGCTACCCCTCTCCCCTCTCCTCAGCATAGGTGACCAGGTTTGGGATCAACATGTACATTCTTAGCTTAGCTAGGTGGAGTGCCCGCAGGATCCTGCCCCTGATGGTTTGCACATCCCATTTGTTGAGCACCTTGCTGGGCATACACAAGGCACATAGTTGATTTGGACCCTGTCCTTATGGAAGGGCCGTTCATGTGGGGGAGATATAGTAACAAGTCAAGACATAAAGAAATAGTGGGGAAGGAATAGGTGAAAAAAAACCCACAATAAAAACTGAATGAGGCCGGGCATGGTGGCTCACGTCTCTAATTCCAGCACTTTGGAAGGCCAAGGCAGGTGGATCACTTACGGTCAGGAGTTTGAGACCACCCTCACCAACATGATGAAATCCTGACTCTACTAAAAAAATACAAAATTAGCCGGGCGCGGTGGTGCATGCCTGTAATCTCAGCTACTCGGAAGACTGAGGCAGGAAGAAGTGCTTGAACCCAAGAGGTAGAGGTTGCAGTGAGCCGAGATTGCGCCATTGCACTCCAGCCTGGGCAACAGGAGCAAAACTCCACCTCAAAAAAAAAAAAACACAAAAAAACACCAAAAAAACCAAAAACTGAACCCAAACATACCTAGATGCTGACTAGGACTAGGACACAGCTGACTAGCTGTGTGAGCTGGGTGAGTCACTCCTCCCTGAGCCCAAGTCCCTCTCTTGTGAAAGGGACATGCAGTCACATCAGTGTGCCCTCCCTAGGATTTTCCTGGCATGCTCAGCAAATAGAAGTCACTGATCACATTGTATTGATTTTCTGTCTATTGATAGATTTGCTGGTGGAGTTTCTGGCATGTGGCGGGAGGTGGTAGGAGGTTCTGTCTCTGGGAAAGGAAGGGGGTGTTCTCGGCTTGGCTCATTCACTGCGTCCTCATTACTCTGCCAGGGCTCCAACCTCACAGACATCTGCACCCAGCTCCTCCTGCAGGGGACTTTGTTAAAGATCTCCGCGGGCAACATCCAGGAGAGGGCCTTCTTCCTCTTTGACAACCTTCTTGTCTACTGCAAGCGGAAATCCAGGTGAGCGGCCGGGAGGCTGGGATGGGGTCTAACCTGCTACCTTCTCCAGGTGATCCTTTGGGCTTGTCACTTCCCTCCCCTGGGTCTCCCTTTCCTGTGAGTTGATGGGTTTGTTCTGAATCAGTGCTGTCTGGTAGAAATAACATGCAAGCCACATGTTATGTTAAATTTTCTAGTAGCCACGTTTCAAAAAGTAAAAAGAACCAGGTAAAATGAATTCAAATAATATCTTCTATTTAACCTAGTAGATCCCCAAATATTAGAATATTATGTTTATAATTATACATGTAATTTTTCTTTTTAAAAATTATTAAAGAGATACTTTGTGTTGTGGTTGCTTTTGTGAGTTGGCGGGATGACTCTGCTGTTGTCTCTTTGCTGTTACTAAGTCCTCAAAATCTAGTGTGTATGTTACAGCACACCTCAATTTGTCCTGGCCACATTTCGAGTGCTCAGTAGCTACCTGTGGCTCATGGCTACCATATTGGATAGTGTAGGTCTAGATGATTGTGGAAGTTGGGAGGTCCTTTGTGACACCAACATCTTGTAAGATCTAAAAGTTGAGGGTTCGAGGGGAGTGACTAAAGCTCTTTCACTGTTAAGTTTTTGGAGGGTCAGGACAGTTTCTTCATCTTCTTTGTGTCTTTCACTGGCGTTTCTTGCACTCTGTAGAGTCTAGGACGAAGTGGATGGGTAGCTGAGTAGGTGGACGGAGGCAGGTGCACGTGTGATGATGGGAAGTGTGGTGACGGGTTGTGTGGGTACACGGGATGAGGGACAGACGGCTGGAGGTTTGAGACATGAATGGATGGTAGATAAAAGGAGGTAGGGAGGGAAAGAAGGAATGTTGGAATTGATGTGTGGGTGAATGAATGAGTGTTCGCATGCTTGGAGGTTTAGGAGATGGCTGGATGGAGGACCAGATGGAAGGCTGGGGCATGTGTTCAGGCAGTTAGAGAAATGGAAAGGAAGACTGGCAGATATGTGTTTAGATGAATGGTAGATTGGGGCCTTCAGGTACGGCGTGTTGAGTGAATGTGTAGATGGATGGATAGCGGGGTGGTTATATGATTGGGAAGGTGGGTGGGCGATGGAGGTTTGGAGATGAGTGGGTCGATGGCCGATTGGATGGCATGTTCACGGATGGGTGAGTGGTTGGTTGATGGTTGCCGAGGTGTTTGGGCTCTGGGAGGGAAGGTGGGACAGTTGGACCACTGAGTGGATGGTTGGGTGAGTGATCGAGAGAGGGGAAATGAGATGGATGCGGGGGTGGATGGCCGCAGTAGCTGCTGGGAACTGATGGTTGGATGCATGAGTGGATTGGCACAGAGAGTTTCCCGACTTTAAGTTTTCTTGTTCAGCAGGTATAGGGTGGTCTCAGCTGACCACTGCAGCGCTTTTCAGATTCTCTTTGTTGTTACTTTGCCTTAGGAACAAAATAGTGATGTTCCAGAAGCTTCTTAACTCTTCTGCCTAGCAAAGACTAGCACTGAGGCCTGAGGTCCAGGCCCTAGGCCCTACTTTCAGCATTTCCTGTAACTTGCTCTGTGGTCCAGGCCATGCTACTCACCGTTTCTGAGCCCTAGTTTCCTTGTCTGTGCTGGCCTCCTAAGGTGTGGTGAGAAACCTTATCACTGGATGACTGATGAATGCTCCATGCCCATGTGTGGGCTTCCCACTGTCCTCCTCTTTCAGTGGGCCTCTCTGAGCCTTGGTTTTCTCTTCTGTAAAGTAGGGATGATCAGCCCCTCCCTGTAGTCATGTGTGGCTAAGAGCTAGCTCCCCCACCATTGGGCCCCTGTTTAGCCGTCTTTGTAGCTCTGTGACTTTGTCTCTCTGTGTCTTAGCTTCCTCATCTGTAAAACAGGGTGAATGATCATAGGTACCTCTTAGGACCATTGCGAAGATCAGATATGTGAGTATGCCTGGCACATAGTGGGTGCACAGCATTGTAGCTGCCAGCACCATTGTTGTTAACGTGGCTCTGGTGTGATCACACAGGTCAGGGCCTGGTGCACAGGAGGCTCTCAAACCATAGGCCCTCCCCATTACCCTTCCCCCGTTCTGGGCTTAGCCCTTCCTGTGAGGGCCTGGGCCTCCTGCTTTCCCTGTCTCCTGGTGACTGGCTCAGCACGACTCTTTCTCATTTGCTCCTTCCTTCCTGCCCACTCCTTGAGGTCAGTCTGTCTGTCTTGTGTCCTTCTGTCCCCCTCACGAATGCCCCCTTCTCCTCTCTCCCTGCCTCCTTTCTGGTCTCTTTGGGGCTGTCCACAGAGTCCTCCTTTGGTAGTTTCAGGGCTGCTGCCAATGTCCACCCCGAGTCCTGCCCCACCACTCTGCCCCAAGCTGCCTGGAGCAGGCACTTTTCCCAGAACTCTGGGGTTTGGAAAACAGAACATCCCCTTAGGCCTCTATGACCTCCTCCCAACTTTTAGCTGAGTTTGCTCAGCCTTTGACTTTCGAGGGCAGGCTCACCTGTGCAGGGATATCAGCTGATTCTGATAGCACCAGATTCCCAGTGGGCTTCCTAGGGCCTTCCCTGTGGGCGCCCTGAACTCTTTCAAGGACGTTCCCCACCTCACTTCCACAAGTGAGCTGGGCTGGCCACAGGGAAAGGGCACATCTGTCTCCAGAGAGAAGCTGGCAGGTGGCCAGCATTCCTGCCTCTGGATGGAGCGCCAGAGGGCTGAGCTCTAAGAGGCCCGGGAGATTGGGCAATGGTGGGTGGATCTCCCGGCCTGAGTCTGATGTGGCCTCCGGCAATTCCTGGAGTGGCGAGGGGACTGCTGACTGTGTTTGTCTTTGCCTGGGTCACCAGGCACCACCCGTCCGGGACATGGGTCAGGGGAGGTCTCTGACTCACAGTGCTTCTGGGCTAATTCAAAAGCAGAGGCTTCTTGGGTGTCAGAAATGGAAAATGGGAGGGAATGTTTTAAAAATCTACCTCCCACCCTCCAGAAGGGGAAACCAAGACCCAGAAGAGCCAAGTCTCATGCATCTCAGCCCCTGCCTAGTATCTTAGAGGCAGCAGTAGTGTCGCCGTTAAGAGCACAGAGGCTCTGCTTTCTCTCTGTGTGACCTTGAGCAAATGATGCCAGCTGTTTGAGCCTCTGTTTCCCTATCCGTTAAATGGGGATAAAAGTAGTCCTCATTTCATGGGGTTGTTTTTACAGAGTAAGACATGTAAAGTGTACACATGTAACATGGTTAGAATAAGGCCCGGCACGTGGTCAAGTGGAGGAAATATAAATATATATCTTTATCTGGGTGTCCCACATCGCAGCTCAGACGTAAATTGTGTCTCAATGGGCTCTTTTTTTTTTTAATCTTAACTTCTGCCCCTTGGATCTTCCTCATTACCAGTAAATGGTACCAAACTGAATTAAGTCAAAGTTCTCCAGAGAGACAGACCCAATAGTGTGTGTGTGTGTGTAAAGAGATTAATCATAAACAATTGACTCGTGATTATGGAGACTGACAAGTCCCAAGATCTGTCATCCGCAAGCTGAAGACAAGCCAGCAGTGTCTTGTTCTGATCCCACGGTTGGCAGGCTCGAGACCCAGGAAGAGCTGATAGTTCTGTTTGCGTCTGGAGGCAGGAGAAGCAATTACCCAGGAGCTGAAGCCAGAATCTTCTTGATTTTGAGCTATCCTTCTCCTCATACTTACTTGATCAGCAGGTCCTTTCCATCCTGCATCAGAACCTCAGTGCAATTCCAATAGTTACTCTAGGAGGGGGTTTGTGTACATGTGTGTATGCATGTATGTGTGTGTAAATGATCAGCTGACTGTAAAACTTACAGGAAAATCCAGAGGCAGAAATAGCTAAGACAATTCTGAAGAAGGTCAAAGCTAGGGGACTGTTATTACCAGATTCCAAGTCTTGCGGTAAGGTCATAGTAATTAAGACAGCATGGTATTGGTATGAAAATAGACAAGTGGAGTAATGGAATAGAATAGTGAGTTTAGAAGTAGACCCATGTAAGCAGTCATTTGAATTTCAGCAAAAGCACCAATGCAGTACAATAAATGGTGCTTGGTCAGTTTGCTATCCAGTGAGGGGAAAGGTGATTCCTGACCCTTACCTCATACCAAACACAAAAATCCACTTCAGCTGGATCGTAGATTTAAATGTGAAAGGTAAAACAATAACGCTTCTTGAAGAAAGCATAGGAGAATATCTTCATGATCTAGGGGTAAGCAAATGTCTTAAATAGGACAAACAGTGTGGTTGTAGATGAGAACTAAACTCATTTGACTATGTTAAAATTAAGAATTTCATTAAAAAATACTGTGAAGAGAGTGAAAAGACAAGCCACAGACTGGGAAAAGGTCTTTACAGTTCATATAATGGCCAGACTGTTCATCATTCAGAATATATAAAGAGGTCCTATAGCCAGACTTGGCCCTCTGCCTATTTTTGTCAATAAAGTTTTATTGGAACACAGCTATGCCCATTTGTTTATACTGTATACAATCTTAGATGCTTTGATGCCGTAAGAGTAGAGTTGAGTAGTTGTAACAGAGCCTGTATGGCCTACAAAACTGAAAATGTTTATTATTTAGCCCTTTTTGGAAAAAATTGCCAACCCCTGCTATAAATAATTAAGAAAAAGACGGACAATTCAACAATAAATGACAAGGGACAGTCATTTCACAAAAGAAGGCACCAGATCACCAATAAACATACAGAGGTGTTTGAGGTTACTTACTCATCAGGGAACTACAAATTAAATGTTAATGAGCTACTGCTGTATACATACCATAATGGCCAAAATGAGAAATAAAATGCCGGTTATAGAGGATGTGGGGCAACTGGAATGTTCCTACACTGCTGGGCATGGGAAATCGGTACAACTATTTTGGAAAACAGCTTGGCAGTATCTCCTAAAGCCAGTCATGCACATTCCTTGTAACTCAGGAAGTCAGCTCCTCAGGTATCTAACCCAAAGAAATGTGCACACGTGTTCTCCTGTCAGGCACGTATAGAAATGCTCACAGCAGCACCGAACTGAAAAGAAGCAAAATGTCTGGCTGTGTCACTACACCCAGCAGCACGGGTAACTCACAGCCATGAGGTTGAATGAAGGAAGCTAGACATAAAAGTACACACTTGTGATTCCATTTGTGTCAAGTGCAAAAACAGGTGAAGCAAATCTTTGGGGTTAGATGTCAGGGCAGTGGTTACCCTTGTCAGGGGAAGAGGGCAGTGATAGGAAAAGGGCGGGGGGGTGTTTATGGGATACTAAACATGTTGATACAGTGTGTTTACTTTGCAAAACTTAACTGAACCCTATTAATGCTGCTTTGGGCATTTTTTTTTTCTGTGTGGATTTTATACTTGAATACAAAGTTTGCAAAAATATGTATATGCACATATGTATGTATATGTTTATATGTACGTGTACACACACACACACCCCCTCATCCTCATCCTTTCTCATCTTGATGATTGCAGTGGGCTTCTCTCTTGTTCTAGTCCCTTCTCCACCAGTAGACACAGGGAGTCTTAGGACCGAAGTCTGTCCCATTCTGCCTGCCTCCGTGGCTCCCATCTCACACACACACTGCAGAAGACCACATCTTCACCACTTACAACTTAGTTTTCAGAGAGAGAGAAGTCTCTTCCACATTCCCGAATCCTCAGCTTATCTCATATGTCATTTACCCACTTACAGTAACAACTGCACATCAGCCAAGTCAGTGTGGGAACAAACTCACTGGCTCTTGGTGCACATACAGCCCACCTGCTGGAGCAGAGGCCCGTGCACACCACAGAGTGGCCTGTGAGCTCTGGGAGTTCATTTTCTGCTGTATCGTCACCAGAGCATTTAGCACCTCTGACCTAATGTATGACTTACCTTACTTTGGGACTGTCTCTGTGCCCTGCTTCCAACCCCATGTTAGAAGTTGAGTTCCCAGAGATGTTATTTTGTTCACTGGTGCAGTCCTAATACCTAGAACAGTGCCTGGCACACGGTAGGCATTCTCCCCATGCTTGTTGGAGGCACAGATGGTTGACTCCTAACTTGGCACCCTCCTCATAGGCAGTGCTGGCCAGATGTTTGTTGAGTGACTATTTTAGTCCCTTCAGGCTGCTATAACAAAATACTAGTAACTGGGGGTTTTAAACAACAGAAATTTGGTCTGGGTGTGGTGGCTTATACCCATAATCCCAGCACGTTGGGAGGCTGAGGCTGGTGGATCACTAGAGGTCAGGAGTTCGAGACCAGCCTGGCCAACATGGTGAAACCCAGTCTCTACTAAAAATACAAAAATTAGCTGGGCGTGGTGGTGTGTGCCTGTAATCCCAGCTACTCAGGATGCTGAGGCAGGAGAATCGCTTGAACCTGGAAGGCAGAGGCTGCAGCGAGCTGAGATCACACTACTGTACTCCAGCCTGGGTGAGACAGTAAGACTTTGTCTCAATAAATAAATAAATAAATAAATAAAATAGGCCGGGCATGGTGGCACACGCCTGTAATCTCAGCACTTTGGGAGGTAGAGGCAGGCGGATCACGAGATCAGGAGTTCGAGACCAGCCTGGCCAACATGGTGAAACCTTCTCTACTAAAAATACAAAAATTAGCCTCAGCCTCCAGAGGAGCTGGGATTACAGGATTAGTGGAGGGCGCCTGTAATCCCAGCTCCTCTGGAGGCTGAGGCAGGAGAATCCCTTGAACCCAGGAGGTGGAGGTTGCAGGGAGCCGAGACCGAGCCATTACACTTCAGCCTGGGTGATAGAATGAGACTCTATCTCAAAAATAAATAAATAAATAATAAAATAAAATAAACAACAGAAATGTATTTTGTACAGTTCTGGAGGCTGGGAAGCCCAAGATCAAAGGTGCTGGTAGACTCGGTGCTGGTGAGGGCCCACCTTCTGCTTCATAGACAGTGCCTTCTTGCTGTGTCCTCCCATGGTGGAAGGGGTGAGCCAGCTTTCTGGGGCCTCTTTTATAAGGGCCTAATCTCATTCATGAGGTCCTTTGCCCTCTGACATCATCATCTTTCAAAGGCCCTACTTCCTAATACCGTTACCTTGGGCGTTAGGATATAACATAAACATTTTGGAGGCACACCAACATTTAGACTATAGAAATAGGTGAATGATAGAATTCACTTGAGTGAATGATCAAACCATGGGAAGGTGGATGATGGTTGGATGGATGGATGGATGGATGGATGAATGGACAATTCCAAGCCCTCCTTCCATTCTGGTCTTATTTCAGGAAGTTTCTGTCTCTGAGAAACTTAATCAGCATTTCTCCATTTTCTGGCCAATAAGAATGGGTTTCTGCTGCCTCTTGTTGGTCTCCCATGTCTCTTCTTAGCTGAAAAGTAGCTCTGTGGGGTCAGCAAGGCCTGTAGCCTGTTTTTTAGATGAGGAAGCTGTGGCTGGAAGAGAAGTGACTTGTTCAAGTTACCCAACCACCAGCCAAATACTCCGGCTTCTGACCCCTGCCCAGGGCTCTTCTCTGTCCCTGGATGCCCCTGGGTGTTGCATTCCCCTTTGCGCTGTTGAAAACAGTTGCATCTGGGAGGTGATGTGCGGGGGACACTGATTTCTCACTGTCTTTCAGGGTCACTGGGAGCAAGAAGTCCACCAAGAGGACCAAATCCATCAATGGCTCCCTCTACATCTTCAGGGGTCGAATCAACACTGAAGTCATGGAGGTGGAGAACGTGGAAGATGGGACAGGTGGGCCCCTCCCCCAGCCCTGCGGGAGCCTTGCCTGTTCCTGGCACTGTCTCTGTTTCATTTAAATATATATTTCTTTTATCATGAGATATAACCTACCTACAGAAAAGTGCCCAGAACGTGGATGCATGAAGCGAACATCTGGATAGTTCACATTCAAGTTAAGAAATAAAACACTGCACCCCAAATCCTTCCTCCTTGCAATGTATTCCTCCCCCTAGAAGAAACCACTGTCTGAATTTTGTGATGATCATTTTCTTGCTTTTTAAAAACACTTTTACCTCCTAAGCATTTATTACTAAACATTTTAGTTAAAATTTTTGGTTTTGAACCTTATATAAGCGGTTATATGATTGCATATGTTTAAGTGGCTTTACATATATGTGATTATATATGTGTGTGTGTGTGTGTGTGTGTGTGTGTGTGTGTGTGTGTGTGTGTATATGTACAGCCCACCTGGTCACATAATGGTCATGACCATTTTACTTAAATGATCATAAAATATGATCGGCTGGGTGTGGTGGTTCACATCTGTAATCCCAGCACTTTGAGAGGTTGAGGTGGGCAGACTGCTTGAGCCAGTCTGGGCAATGTGGAGAAAACCCATCTCTACAAAAAATACAAAAACTAGCCAGACGTGGTGGTGTGCAACTCTGGCCTCAGCTTCTGGGGAGGCTGAGGTGGGAGGATCATCTGAGCCGTGATTTCGCCACTGCACTCCAGCGTCAGTGTGGGTGACAGAGTGATACCTTGTCTCCCCGCTAAAAATAATATGGTTTACATTTTTTTTTTTTTTAAGACAGAGTCTCACTTTGTTGCCCAGGCTGGAGTGCAGTACACTCAGCTCATTGCAACCTCCCCCTCCCGGGTTCAAGTGATTCTCCTGCCTCAGCCTCCCGGGTAGCTGGGATTATAGGTGGCTGCCACCGCGCCCGGCTATACATTTTTTCAAACAAACTGCTTCTTTCACACAACACTGCATTGGTGCGGTTCATACATGTCTCTTCATGTAGCTGTGTGCAGCTTGTTGGTTTCTGTTGCGGCAAAGTGTTCCGTCACATGAGCATTCCACACTTCATCCATTCTTTGGGTGATGGACATTTGGCCTGTTTCCATCGCTCACAGCCATGCACAGTGCCACTGTCAGGACTCATGTGAGCATCTCCTAGTATGTGTGCTTTTGAGCTTGTCCAGAGCAGGGGTTCTTGCTTGGTTTTGAGCCACAAGCCTGTCTGGTAGTCTTGTGAAGCCCATGGAGCCTTCCTTAGAGTCAGGCTTTCGCTTCCCTAGATCATGCCAAACCTGGCAGACAGGCTTACCAGCTTGCATCCCAGCCAGCAGTGGGTAGGGTCCCCACATTTGACTTGGCTTGTCAGGCTGGCACTAAGGTTTTAAGTAACCCTGGTGCTTGAGTGAGATAGGAGGTATCTGGGAAGACTCCAGGCAGGGGTCTCCCGTGAGTCACTGTGTTTGTGCCTAGATGCAAGGTCTTCAAATGAAGCCCCCTGTCATTGAGTGGTTGAGAAGGGTCTTTGGTTGCAGAATGTCTTCCTTGCCCGCTGGGCAAAGATAAGGAGTATTTGAAGGGTTGGAAGTACAGCTCCCCATCCTGACCCTGGTGAGGGCTCTGCCCCGTGCTGGAGTGCAAGGGCTTGATGATGGGGAGGATTGAGGGTCACGTGGCTGAGTCTCTGCTGCATCTTTGCCTCCTGCCTCTGCCAGCGGATTACCACAGCAATGGCTATACCGTCACCAACGGCTGGAAGATCCACAACACAGCCAAGAACAAGTGGTTCGTCTGCATGGCCAAGACGGCGGAGGAGAAGCAGAAGTGGCTGGATGCCATCATCCGCGAGCGGGAGCAGCGCGAGAGTGAGCGGCGGGTTTGGAGGGCTCTCTTGGGAATCCCTGAGCTGTGCGTGGCTTCTGCAGAGTTGGGGCTGTGTCTAGGGAAGGGGCATAGGGTCCTTTACAGGAGGAGCAGCTGCAAGAAGCAAGCATTTGAAGGGGCAGGGAGCTCTGGGACTGCTCTAACTTGGTGGTACCTCAGGGATTGCCCACGAGACAGATGGAGAAACTGAGGCCTGATAGAAGGGTCTTGCTGAAGGCCTTCACCCTTAAAGATGAGGACTCTAGATGCTCCTCTTTCCCCCACATAGCTCTATGCCCTGTGCCTGAGGTTTTATTTGGTATTCACTGAATCTAATTCTGGGAGGAGGGTCCATTGGGGCTGCCCATTAACCTCAGTCAGGAGTCCCTCCGGGCACAGGCACCCCCGAGGCAGTTCACATGACGAAGTGCAGAGGCTAGATATAATTGGAGGATGGGCTTGGGGCTGGGCATGCAACAGCCGTGCAGAAGCACTGCGCTGTTTTGTGCAGAGACCCCTAGGCAGGGAAAAGGAGGCCTTGGTGCGTTTTGGGGCAGGTTACTCCAGCTTCCCTGACCTCAGTGATCTCATCTGATAAATGGGGATCCAAGTTCCTGCTGCAGAGGGCTGTAATGCTGCTACAAGAGGTCTCGGATTAGGGCGCATTTCAAAATCTGACACAAGATCCTAAAAACCTTCCCCACCTCCCAGTTTTACTGAGGAGGAAACTGGGCCTTAGTTTCCTCTAAATGTATATCCTGCTTACTTGAAATTGGGGTGTCATAGACGCCACACTTGGCGTGTCTAAATCCTAGCTCTTCATCTCTCCCCAGCCTTCTGCCCCAAACCTGCTCTTCCCTTGACCCCTCCCTTCACCCCAGAGCTCAGAGTCAAACTCTTGCTATCATCTCTGGTCTCCCCTGCAACGCCTGCTCCCCAAATTCAACAAATCAACAAGTCCCTTTAATTCTCCCCTTCAGATCTGGTGTGTTTTACCCATCCACTCCTCTGCTTATCTCCCTACTTCCAAGACAAGTCACCATCCTCTCTCAGGAATATGGGCCCAGTGGGGCCAAATCCATGGATTGTTTGTCTAGAGAAACTAGACATCTGGATTTTTAGGTGATATGTTCTGATCCTGAATGTTGCATCATTTGCTGTTGTCAAGATTAGATGGCGGTCAAAATAGAAAAATGTGGCAGAGGTTAGAGTCAGGTCTTGTGCGTGTTGTCATGAAGAATGACCAGACTTTTATCACTGGGCTGGAATGAAGATCCCAACAAGTTTTCTGATAACCTGTGAATCTGGAAACCCACCCTGGGGTTGGGTGGGAATAGGGAAGTGATTAAGAACATAGCTCTAGCGCTTGACTCCTGGGTTGAAGGCATGACTCCCAGGACTTAACCTCTCTGGGTCTCAACTTTGCCGTCTGTAAAATGGTTGTTTTGAGGCGTCAATGGGAGGTGCCTAGGGCAGTAACAGTCAGTGCCCTCTAGCTGCTGCTGGCTTGGTGGTGGTGGGGGGCAGACGGGGGGACAGGTGGCAGGCCGGCTTTCAGGAGCTGTGGGCCTGCCCCCTGTCTCCCTCTACCCCTCTGCCCTGGGTCTGGTGCTCTCTCCAGTGCTGACCGTGCCCCTGTGTAGGCCTGAAGCTGGGCATGGAGCGTGATGCCTACGTCATGATTGCGGAGAAGGGGGAGAAGCTGTACCACATGATGATGAACAAGAAGGTGAACCTCATCAAGGACCGCCGGAGAAAGCTGAGCACTGTCCCCAAGTGCTTTCTTGGCAAGTGAGTGGCCTCACCCTGAACGCCCTGGGTCCCCGGGCTCTCAGTTAGAGGTGGGGCAGATCATCCCCATCTACCCGTGTGGCCTGGCCCTTCCCAGGAGCTGTCCTGGGTGGAGCCATGAAAGGACCTGAATCCCCATGGAGCAGCCCTCAGAGGTCAAGAAGGCTAATGGGGTCCCCAAATCAGGTCTTTCAACCCACTGCCAGACATAAGTTTTTCATTGTGACCTGGTACACTCATCCACGTAATGTATGACTGAAGCTGAGATTCCACAGAACTTGCTGTGCTTGATCCACTCTGAAAATATCTGTTTGTTCTATTCTATTCTATTCTATTCTATTCTATTCTATTCTATTCTATTCTATTCTATTCTATTCTTCTATTCTATTCTATTCTATTCAGTTGCTTCTTCATTCCTTTCAAAATTAATGCTGGCAAGATCCATGACATCGCTTCACAAAGCACTAATGGTTTGAAAAATGCTGCTGTAGCACTTGGGGAAAGAGAAGCCACTGTAGGTATTTCAAGCAGAGAGGTATTGAACACAGGTAATTGATTACAAAGGTGTTGTAAGGGCTGGAAGAACAAAGGTAGGCACCCCCGCCAACGCTTTTTTTTTTTTTTTTTTTTTTGGCTGGGGCTGCCATAACAAAGTCATGCAAAACTGTGTGGCTTAAACAGCAGAAATACATTGCTTCACAGTTCTGGAGGCTGGCAATCCCAGGTCAGGGTGTCAGCAGGGTGGATGTCTGGTGAGTCCTCTCTTCCTGAGTTACATGTGAGGGGCAAGGAAAGCTTCTATAAGCTTGTCAGTGCTCAGCCTCCACTTTCTGTGTTTGGGAAATGCAGCCTCATTTTATAATGGGGGTTTATAGGGGTCAGAACACAAGTCTGACTCTTAACACTCAGGTCACCTGAGGGACAGGGCTGGGACACGGGTGAGGCAGAAGAAATCCAGTCCTTGTAAAATGGCCCAGATGTTTTGAGGCCCTACAATGTGCTAGACACTTCAGAGAGGACAAAGGGCTTGAAACCTCATGAAGCTTGTGGTGCAGCTGGGGAGAGAAGTTGGCCTGCAATGCGGGACCTTTGTTTAGAATGTATGGACTTAGGCTCCCCCCACTTCCCTAAAGCTTTTGCAGAGGCATAGGGCAAAAGCTGCTGCTTTCTCACAGTGCTGTGGACCAGCTGAGAGGTTGCCTGGGGTAGGCTTGAGCCAGGATGGTCACTGTGGAGCCGGGGAACCGGGACTGTTCTGGATAACTTGGAAGGCAACGGCCTTTGCTGATGGGGTGGAGAAGTAACGGGAATTCAGGACTGCAAGGCGCTGGAAAGCTGGAGTTGCTCCTTTGAGAAGGGGAAGAAGATGGTGAGAGGAGCAGGTGCAGGGGCAGTGGGAAGCCCGGGAGTGCAGTTGTGGGTGGTTACGGTCAGGCTGGTAGACATCCAGATGGAGATGTGAGCTAGTTGGTTGGATGCAAAATCTTGACTTGGGGAGAAGAGTCTGCATGGGGATGTATACCCGGGAGATGACATTAAATGGTCTTTAAAGCCACGAGACAGACTGAAGTGCTCAAGGGAGCCTGAAGGGAGAGAAGAGGCAGCCCTGGGCCCTAGGACCCGGCATTGGAAGGAGGAAGGGGCAGAGACCTCTGAGTGGAGCTGCTGGCGAGAAGGTGATGCTCCTCCAGAAGCCGAGGCAGGAGGCAGGAGGCAGGAGCAGGTCCCCGGGAAGGAGCAGGAGCCCGGTGGAGGTTGAAATGCTGATAGACATTCAGGGTGCAGTGTGGGTGCTGGGCAGGCCACGGAGGCCGAGTGTGGGCTTGGGGACAGCTGGCAGTGGTGGCCTGAGGCTCGTGGTGGAGGGACAGCAGGTGGGAGGGTTCGGACCCGCAGGGCGCCTTGGACTCGGATGCCCTGTTGCCCTCAAGGATCAGGAACTCCAGTTTTGAGCTTCCGTGGAGAGGAGAGTTTGGGCCCGGAGTCCTGCTGGCTGGGGCAGGTGGGGTGGGGCAGCCTGGCTGGTCTTTTCAGCTAACTCCTAATCCCACAGGAAAGGAGGTTTTTCTCTCAGGAGGGGCCTGCTTCCGGGCCCCCAGGGGCCGGAGAACCTTCCTGTCTCCTGCCAAACTGCTCAGTCAGGACGGATGAGGCAGCCTGTCTGATTAGAACTTCGAGGAGTGTTCTGCCTCCTCAGGAAGGATTAGGGAGATTTCTTTTACTGCCCATTTGAAACAGGGCCAGGTCTGCAGCTTGTTTTGTAACTACAGGTCCGAAAGGGCCAGACTTTCTGTGGGAGATTGTTCTGATAAACGCTTCTTTCTCCCTGCACGGCTTGGCTCTGTACACAGCCCTAGGGTTTGTGATCCTGTCCTCACCAGCGTCTTGCTGAGTCTTCTTGTCCCAGATGCATCCCTGGTCCCCTCGGTTGGAAGGACTTGGTAGCCTCAGAGATATTGATCAAGCCGTTTGCTCCATGCACTGGCATTCAGCCCTGTCTTTTAATCCCCACACAACACCGAGAAACAGGCACTGCCATTATCCTCATTTTAAAAGTTGGGAAACTGAGGCACAGAGAGGAGAAGCATTCTGTACAAGATCACAAAGCCACAACGGTGGTCTGGGATTTGAACCCAGGACTGGGTGGCTTCAGGCCTGTGCTGTCTTTCACTGTGCTCTGCCTCGTCTATTCATATTTATTTCTACTCGGCACACTTTATTTTTCCCTGGTAGTTCCTCTCTCTATAGCTGTCTCCGCTGTTAGGAAACTGTATGAATATAAAAAGTGTCTGATTTATCTTTTGTTTTTTAGAGACAGGGTCTTGCTCTGTTGCCCAGGCTGGAGTATAGTTGTGTGATCACAACTCACTGCAGCCTCAAACTCCTGGGCTCAGGCGATCTTCCTGCCTCCTGAGTAGCAGGGACTGTAGATGCATACCACTGCGCCAGGCTTCTATAGCTATGTTTTACTTTTGTACAGATGCGAGTCTTCCTTTGTTGCCCAGGCTTATCTTAAACCCCTGGCTTCAAGCAGTCCTCTCACCTTGGCTTCCCAAAGTGCTGGAATTACAGGTGTGAGCCACTACACCTGGCTTGATTTGTCTTTATAACCATCAAGGGTTGGGCTTTGAGTTAGATTTGGGCTCCAGTCTCGGTTCCCTCACTTTCTAGCTGTGTGACATTGGGCATGTTTCTTAACCTCTCTGAGCCTCCGTGAATGATCAGTTAAAGAGAGATAGTAAAATATACCTCGGAGGACTGTTGGAGGATACAGTGAGAGAATGCATGAGACATGTGTGACCCAGTGCTGGCAAGACCGGCGGGAATTGTACTGGGCTGTGCATGATGTGAGGTGTGGAAGCGTGTATGAAGAAGGGGTGTCCTTCTGCCCTACTTAGAGAAAAAAGTCATAGATGCCACATTGAAAAAGCAAAGAATAAAATCTGTGTATGAATGTGGAGGGTGTCCCAGGAGGAGCATGGCGCATACCCTCCGGCATCCTCAGATTGTAGGGGAGACAAAACAGGTTCATTCACTTACGGATTTGCTCACTCAGCGTGAGCCAGTCCCCGCTGTGTGCCAGTCAGGAATAGGACAGATGAAGTCCCAGCCCTCAAAGAGGTAAGCACCCAGTGGGGGGAACCGGACAACAGAAAAGCAGACAGATATAAAGGGAATTTCAGCAAGCTGATGAATGCGCTAAGGAAGTACTTTGGGTGAAGTCAGGACAAGAGGAAACGGGGCTGGTTCAGCAGGGTGGGCAGTCAGGGCCCCTGAGGGGTAGCGACGTTTAACCACGATCTATGACAAGCAAGAGACAGCCATGAGAGGGTGTGGGGTGCAGCATTCCTGGCTTAGGGGGAGTAAGTGCCAAAGGCCTGAGGCTAGAGTCAGCTGTGAGTGATGGTGGAGCAACAGGAGGCCATCGTGGCTGGAGGCGAGTGTCTGGAGGGGCGGGAGATGTGGCCTCAGCAGTTAGAGGGGTCCCATCAGGGAGGGCCTTGGCAAGCAGCTCGCATTTCAGTCTTGGTGCTCTGGGAAGCCACTGGGGGAGTCTCAGTAGTGGAGTGAGATGAGGATGTCACTCATCACCCTGGCCCAGATCGAGGGCACTGGTGGAGCTGCCGGAGCTTAGGGTGACCATGTGTGATGAGGTGTGTCTGGCAGGGGCTGTCAGGAAAAGCTTCCTGGAAGGAGAAGGCCTTGGGTTTCACCCTTGGCAGAGATTAGATACCGTGCAGTTATGGACGTCTGCCAGAGTGAAAGCTCCAAGGTGGAAGGGGCCTTGGTGTCTTGGCCACCTGTATGCACAGGTGGCAGGGTGCACAGGTGCAGGGTGTTAGCATGCACGAGAGGGTCGGAAGGATTTGTCCAACACTGTCATCTCTAGGAGTCACAGGGGTGGGTATCTACCCCCCAGTCCCTACCCTCTTGGAGCCCATGGCCCACGGAGGAATCAGGCAAGAAAAAGGGGATTCTTGTGCTAGGTTGTAAGTGGTACCTTGGCCTGAGCTCGGGCGGCTTTCTCAGGAGGACTGCAGAGACATTTCCTGTGTATTCCCTGTGCTTCACCCTGACTGTGGCCATGGTAGGCTAAGTAGATGTTTACGGGGTGAATGATTCTAGGAGGTGGGAAGGAAGGAGGGGTGAAAGTGGGCACATCCTAACTCTCAGCTCACCCCACCATCCCTGACTCTCAAACTCCCCACCGAGCTAAATTGCCTGCTCCCCGTGTCTCCAGTTCTCCTCACACTGTCCCGAGCTGTGTCTTTCTGGGAGTGTGGACCTAGCTGCCCTTTGCACCCCACGCCCTTCCCCGCTGGCAGATCATAGTTTCCTAACCTTACCTCTCAGGGCCTCTGTGCACTGAACCCACTGCCCAGAACACTCATCCCTGTACCCCAGAGGTGACTAGCAGTGCCCCGCTGACCTGATACAGTTAGCAGACATGTTTTCCTCGGCCCATGTAGTGCTTTCAGAAAGTTTTGGATTTGATAGGAACATTTAATGATTGGGAGATTTCACAGGAAATGCTGGATTTCCTCACTCTCCTGAGAAGCTGTTAGATGCGTTTGTCTTCTAACATCGGGTCATGATGGGCTCCACTGAAGAGTGGCTGCCAGCTTTAGACACAGCAGGCGCTGGCTGGTTCCGCAGTCTCCTCCTGGCCTGTTTTGCATATTTACAAGTTTGAGACCCCTGCACTAGAGATGAATTTTATTGGGTTTTGCATATTGCATCCCAGCTCAGGATTTCCTATGACTAGAAATTTTGCCTGCTAAATCCAGAAGGCAACTGAATGAGCCTCTTGCCAGGTGGGCTCTGATGAGGCCCAGAGAGGCACGAGGACCTGCCCAGCTTTGCCCAGCAAGCTGTGAACCCTCCTTGATCCCTCAGAAAGTGGCAAGACCCAGTTTGGGCAGAAACATAGGGCAGAGTTACTGTCCTCTGGGCCATCTTCTTGTGCCCCAGGTGCTGTGGGATACTTCCTGTCCCCTAACTCTGGCCACAGAGTTGCTGATCAGTGCCAGAGGTGGCCCCCAGTTAGACAGCTGGTGGGCCACCGGATGCCGGCTGGAGAGCTTCCGAGAGTGGGCACTCACACATCTGTTCCCCTCCTTCAGCTGCTGGCAGCATTCTCCCTGTTGCTGAGTTCCAAGACTTTGAGAATGGAACTAGGGGTGGACAGGACCCAGAATGATCCCTTCCTCACCCGGGGCTCCTGTCCCACAAAGCAGATGTGTTTCTTCTGCTCCCCACTCTGCCTCCAGCCAGGGCATTCTGAATGTCCCAGCACGCACCGCTACCTACACACCAGGCAGATCTTTGCTCTGCCAAACACTAGGAAGCTAAAAATAGCCCTGCCCCCCTCTGGCCCTGTAATTGGAGGCGGGACAGCTGGTTTCGATAAGCAGGGCGCTCAGGCTCTGGCCAGCTGCCACCTGCTTTCATTGAACACAGATTGCCTCGGCGGAAACAGTCCCATTCCAGGCTCTCTCCCTTTTCCTGCTGTGTTTGAGTGGGTTGAGCTCTGGGCTGAGCCTGAGAAGCACCCCCAGGAACCAGGACCTGGGGGCCTGGCTGAGCCTCTCCCCAGTGGGCAGTCAGGTCGGGGTTGGAAAAGCTGCCTGTCTTCCTCTGGCCTGGGAAAACTTCTGTCTACCTGAGACCTTCCTGCTGACCCTAGAACATTTCTTTCTGTTGGATGGTTCATTCCCTCATTTGTTCCATAAATGATCGTTGAGCCCTGCTCTGCATCAGGCCCTCTGGTAGGTACTGGGGCTAGTGCCATGAAGAAGACAGAGAACACCCCCTGTTTGTGTCATTACATTCTGGTTGGAGGAGATGGTCAGCAAACACATAAAGTAAATCTGTAAACAAGACCACTTCAGACAGTGAGAAGTGCAAAAAAAGGAAGCAACACAGAGATGTGATGGATTGGATAGGGGCAGGACCATTTTAAATGAGGTAGTCAGGGAAGGCTTCTCTGAGGAGGTGACATTTGTGCTGAGACCTGAAGGATGAGAAGGACAGTTGCATGAAGAGCTGAGGAAGGCCGTTGTCAGGCAGGGGGAAGAGCAAGTGCAACGGCCCGAGGCAGGGGGGAGTCTGGTATTTTTTAATAAGGGAAAGATGGTAGGTGTGGCTAAGCCTTAACCAGTGAGAGGTATTGTGGGTAAGATCAGTCAGGGTGGCAGTGGGTCATGCTGGGCCTTGTTGATGTCCATGTGGGTAGAGTTGGGATGTTTTTCTGAGTAGTAAACCTGTGGGAGGGTTTTGAACATGGAAATGACATGGTGTCATCACTGTTAGCTCTCCTGACTCCCCGCCATCATCTTTCTGGCCCCCCTATTATTTCTTCCTGCATGCCTGTCCATTCTGTCTGTTCATCTGTCCAGCCACCACCCTACCCAGCCACCTGTGATCCATCCCTCACCCTTCCCCCATCTACTCACTCTCTTCACCACCCCATTGTTCATTTCTCTATTAAGTCATCTGTCTGTTCATTCATCCACTTACCCACCTATCTGCCCACCCATGTGTTGGCTGGCTGTCTGGCGGGCCATCTGTCCATCCATCCATACAATAATCCATCGACGTCTAGTCACTCATCACCAACCTGCTTGCTTACTCACCCTTCCTTCCTTCCTTCCCTCCCTCCTTCCTTCCTTCCTTCCTTCCTTCCTTCCTTCCTTCCTCCCTTCCTCCCTTCCTCCCTTCCTCCCTTCCTCCCTTCCTCCCTTCCTCCCTTCCTCCCTTCCATCCAGCTTGAGGCAGACCTGGAATCTGGTCACACTCTCCTCTCTGCCATTGGCATGAGAAGCATGAAGCCTCAGTATAGCCCCAAGGGCTATGGATTCCTAAACTCCACTTCCCTATGGGAAGTTGTAGCTGTCATTTCCAGGGGTGGATGTGGCCAGGTTCCTGTGGTCCCAGCATTGGGGAATTCCTCTCAACCACATACTATGTTCCTGGCAGTGAGTTCGTTGCCTGGCTCCTAGAAATTGGTGAAATCAGCAAGACGGAAGAAGGAGTCAACTTGGGCCAAGCCCTGTTGGAGAATGGTATCATCCACCATGGTGAGTGGAGGGCTGGGCCCAGCTGGAGGGGTAGGAACAGGTCAGACCCCAACTGTGCCATGCTTCCACTAACTCAAGCAGCTCCTAGCCTTCCGTGCAGCCACCTTGTTCCCTGGGCACAATGTGGCCCGCAGGAATGTGGATGCCCTTATAAAACTGCCTTTAGGGCTAGAAGACCCAGCACTCACCTAGGCACCAGCAAATCAGGAACACCTCAAAAAGCTGGGAGAAGGGGAGTAGAATCTTTGATCCATCCCTTCATTTGTTTAAGTTTTAGTTATTCAGCAAATATTTATTGAGTGCCCAGAATGTGGCAGGCACAGTTCATACCACAATGAACGGGTGGAGGACGTGCCTGTCCTCATGGAGCCAAGTTGGAAGGGACAATAAGATCTTTACTTACGTATCTTTACAAAGCAAGATAGTAAAACATGGTAGGTGTAGGGAAGGAGGGTAAACGGTATGGTGTTCTTTGGGAGGCCAAGGTGAGAGACCTTTGGATGAACATGTTAGCAGGATCACAAGGTCAGGAGTTCGAGACCATCCTGGCTAACACAGTGAAACCCTTTCTCTACTAAAAATACAAAAATTAGCCAGACGTGGTGGCATGCACCTGTAGTCCCAGCTACTCAGGAGGCTGAGGCAGGAGAATTGCTTGAACCC